CGGCAAAGAACAAGTTGAACAGCAGCGGGGCCAGGTTGCATCCCTGTCGGAGGCCTTGGCCCACGTCGAACCACTCCGAGTACTGCCCGTCGTCCGTTCGGACGTTCGCCCTCATGCCCTCGTTGAAGTGGCGAATGACCGCCAGCATCTTCGGGGGCACGCCGAAGCGTCGGAGCGCGTCCCACAGTAGGTCTCGGTCCACCGAGTCGTATGCCTTGGATGTGGGATGACTACAATACAACTCTGGTGGTCCCCGATCTGCGAAGCCAGTACATCATGCACATGAACGAGCAACGAAATAATGGATTTTTGGCGGAAGACCTACATACTCTGTACTTCGAAGTACTCGCACGCGTTCACCACATCACCACCGTAGACACTTGATACATCCAACGTCCCGGGGGCTCCGCGGAGCTCTCTGTGGTCCACGAAATAATAGAGAAGCAGCATCGAAATGGGTTGCAGCAGAACCACAGCAGCTTCGCCGGTCTTCTATTTGTTTGAGACGTTCAATTTTTGCCGATTCGACTCGATGAACCTGCAGTACCTGCTGCCTCCTGAGCCGCGGGCAAACTCCGGAGTACGCTTTTTGCTTTCGTCGCAACAAGATGAGGCGACCACCGGGTACTACTGTACGTAGAGGTGGTGGAAGTGATAAACAGTGGTAAATGGCTTCCCGGACGACGTCAACATGATGAGTTTCTCTGGCGGGTACTCTTCCCTACCTTGCGAAGTAGCCTATCGGGCCTTGGCGATGTCGTCTTTTACAGGTACATGACATCATCATCGGGGAACTACGCATGTATGCGTAGCACCGGGATCATGGCGAGCTCATGGGCTTTTCTGTACAGAATGACGTGTGGACTTGTGAACGGCCTTGACATCCACTAAGTAGTCTCCCAGGATACACCTGTTATTTGCTGCCGCTCGTTCCTCTGGACCTTTTTGCGCCAAGGATGACGCGAACGGCTAACCACCGACGACATCGCAAAAACACCAAACCAACCCGCATCCCATGGGATGTACACAGCGGTACCCGGTCGTGGCTCCACACTCTACAGACCAAGAGTCCCATGAACGCAAGGGGCTGCAATGCACTACCAATCAACCCAAAACGTGTCGTGAATGAACACGGTCCATCTCGGCACGTACGAGCGAGTGAGTAAACGAAGACAATCCCCGTGCGTATAGCCCCCCACTGACGATTCGTTTTCCAGCAACCTGGTTGCCCCATCGCCACGTACGTATGTCGACTCAGTAGGCTCCCGCAAAGCTGCCCCCGGGTCATCAGAGACAGCAGCATAGCTGGTTCAAAAAGCCACAGCAGTGCCGCCTTTGGCAACTCATCATCTTGTTGCAGGGCTTCAGATGCCGCCCGCACTTGGAAAAATCTCGTCAGTTGAGAACTTCGCGCTCACCATGATACTCGTATACCAAACGTAAGAACTTGGGCCATTTCTGAGCCCCTTGAAGAACCCCCACACTCATAAACGTATCATAGATAGCGGCCATCTTTCTAGCCCACAGGAGGGACGACGAACCCCACCCTCGGAAGCCTGGGCAACACTAGAGCTAGCTTCTCAACTGCGCGCGCTACATCTGTATGCCATCTACGGCTGTAACCAGAGACAGGAGACGTGCTCCTCTTCCCCGACAACCAGAGAGAGGGGGCACGACACGGTCAACGATGACGACTCAAAGGCAAAACGATATGACCACGACTCAGGGCATTTCTCGAAGAGCTGTCCATTTGCGCACGTCTCGGCGGAAGAGGTTCTCGTCGGCGTAGCTCAGTCCTCTCTCCTCGTCCACTGTGGCCGCCCGCATCACGCCGTCCGCGTCTCTCAGCACGGGCGGCACCTGCCACCCGTCGGAACAAAGAGAGAGAGAGAGGGGGGGGGGGATAGTGAGGGCTTTGTCACAACCCGAGCAATCGGCAAGAAAGAACACACACGCCGCTTGTCCAAACGTCAACACAACGCGAGAGAGGGGCCGAGGGGGGATCATCACAGCCCGGTGCAGGATGCAGACCTTAACATGCCGTACTGCTGTACAGAAACACAATCAACGAGGAGTGAGGTGAAACCGGGCGCTATTGTCCAAGCCGTGCTGGACACGTGCTGTTGGTTGTGGGGCTTCATCGCTGAGTGAGCCCAACACTTCTGACGTCTACAACCGCCTGTTGAGGGAGATAAGTCGTTGGCGCACACGGCATTTGATCCTCTTGGAGGGTATCCTCTTCTAACTCTACTCCGCCCCACCCCAAACAGCACTTGCTCGGTACGTCCTTACCTTAGACGAATCCTTAGAGGACGTGTCCTTCAGGGCGTAGGCCCAGCGCCTCGCGGGAAGCTTCGGCTCCTTCTCCAACTTCTTGGTAAGCTCTGCGGCCTCCTCTTCCCTTACGGCGGCGTAGATAGCCTTGAAAAATCAAATAGAAAAAACGAGCAAAGAAGCAATCAAGAACGACAATCAGAAACATGAAACGGACGTAACTATGTAACTGGATCCAACAATAGAACAGCAGACCAACAGCCAGTTTCACAGCAGTATCAACGAAAAAATGGCCATGGCGGAGATCAACAGACAGCAGTCAGGAGGAGGATGGTCAATAGTTCGCTTTTCGTCTTTGAAGGTCTCGGGATGGATCACAAGAACATTTCGAGGGACGATAAACGTCAACCACAAACATCCGGCGGGCCTGCGCCTGTACTTGGAAGGGCCGGAGGACCTCTCCCAGCATAGCAACAACAACAACAATCACCAACAACACCAGAAACCACAGCACGCTGGTCAGGCCAGGTCACCTTGTTGGTGCGCTTGTACTTGAGGTCTTCGGCAACCTCGTCCTGGCTCTGCAGGGGCGGTCGGTCGAACTTGTTGCTACGGTCCTGCTCGGTAAGCTTTCCTAGCTTAAACTCTCTTGGATTCGTCCAGCTGCTAGGGTCGTTCTTGTCGCTGCCGATAAGAAAAAAAAAGAAGTCAAGACAAAAAAAAAACATGTCAACACCATGCGGTGGACAGCCCGCCACGCACAGCGACAACAGCAAACCTCCTGCTTTTGCACCCAGCCGTCTTTGTCGCTGAATAGTCTTTCATCACACCAAAAAGTACAGCAAAAAATTCCTCCAGCACGAGGCAGGCTAGACAAAGCAGTAGTGACCGACCGACCTTTCACGCGCTGTTCCGTGCGGTTGCTCGAGGAGAGGAGAGGAGAGGAGAGGAGAGGGAGAAATAACACTACGGTCGTCCCCGCTTCAAAGGCTCTCGTCTAAGTCAACTCCCCGCTTCAAAGACAAAAAAACTAAGAAGCAGGGTGCCCCGCAGACATACTGCGTGCCCCCGGAATCTTAAGGACACTTCCCCGCGTTGAAGCATATTCAAAGTACAAAAACATGCGTATCTTTAAAGCGGGGTCGACTGCACGCAAACATCCTACGCAAGGAAATGGTGGCGAAGGCATATCCTAGCGAGCGATCGGGCCAAAGACGTCGAAACCTCGGGGTGGCTAGGAGACGGAACAATCCCCAGAACGGAACAGGAAAGCAACACCAAAGAACCGCCTCTCTCACGAGGCAAGAGGAGGAACAACGAACGAAGAAGAGACGAAACAGTCCGAACCTCGGGGAGCAAGCGATGTAACGATCCCCAGAACGGGGACCGGAAATAACACCACCACACGCCTCGTGTCGCGAGCCAGGAGGAACGACAACGAAGGCAAAAGAGACTTGAGGAAACCAACAACAAAACTGGAAGGGAGTCGGTCAGCCAGTCAGCCAGTCAGCCAGGCAGGCAGGCAGGCAGCGGTTTCGCGTGACAACCGCTCCTCACATGTCCGGGCAGTGCTCGTAGATGAAGGGTATATCCTGGCCGTAGTGTTGGGCCAGCTCCTCGATGTAGGCTTCCTTGCGCTCAGTGAAGATCTCCTCGATCTCCGGGTAGATCTCGTACCTGAAAATCGATGGATCGATGGATCGATGGATCGGATACAACCGACACCGACCGGATTTTCGAGCGAACGAAGCCGTCGCGGGGAACAGAGCGCCTAAGTTAACCAAGGTTTTCTGCGTGTGTAGACTATTGGTGTTCTCGAAGCAAACTCAATGGCTCTATGGGACGGACAGGCAGAAGCAAAATCCTCTCGCCCCAGCAATACAACAGAACATTCGCAAACGTGGATGCATACGGATCGTCAGACAGATATACCTCGTCGTATCATACATGAACACCCAAGCTCGGAAGGTCGACACACCAGTGGAGAGATCGCGCTGAAGAAAAACTATCCAAAAAGAGCAGCAGTCGAATTCACGGCAGGGTGTATGTGGCGGCAATCTTCACGGCCTAAAACGCAAGCACGCTTGAGCCTGGTGAGCAATATGTGTGGATATGTTTACAGAACGGTCGGTGTCATCACCGACGAACGTCAGGGAGGAGGGGAACGGAGGGGAACAACGGTCATGGAGGGGATAACTTACAAAGCGAGCACGGCGTGCTCCTTGTGCGCCAATACACCACACAGGATTCCCTTCCCGTCATCGATCGAGCCTGTGACGACGCACGTGTGTTTGGGTTCAACGGAAGCAAAACCGAACAACCCTAGAGCCCATGAGCCGAAACGACGCCCACGTGACAGCCACAAACGAGAGGCACCAAAAACACCCCCCCAAGTCGTGGTAGAGCCTGGTCCGGTGAGAACCCGGCGTGCTCCGTCCCGGCTTTGTAGGGATGCGAGGTCAATGGTCNCCCCCCCCCCCCCCCAAGTCGTGGTATGTTGAGATACGTACCGAGCCTATGATCTGACAGCCAAACCGGTCTCACCCCTCAATCGTCTCCACGTTTTCCTTGGCCTTTATCTTGAGGGTCAGGATGGCCTGCACGTCTAGGTATGGCAATCCGAACTGCTTCGCCAGGGCCTGGCGAAAAAAGCATCGGCGGCGGGGCACGGGCGGTGGAAAGGCTGTCAGCAACGACCGCATGGTACGAGGTACGAGCTAGCGGGGAGAGGGGCACGCGAAAGGGACAAGAAATGAGCACGGCGGTGCGAGGGAAGGCAAGGCACTAGCAACAAGCCTGCAATACCCAAGCACGCCCGCTTCCAAGCAGACGGAAACAGCAAAAAACAACGCCACCACCAGCTTCGTGCGTTGAGAAAGGAAAAACACGAGCATGGAAAGGTGGACGCTCCAGGCTAGCTCGCGCCGGATAGAGCCGGCAACAGCACAACCCAAACGAGCTTCACCCTTGACTTTCCCTGGCCGATACCCCGCCCCGCTCCATCGCCGATGCTTCCTTCTCAAGAGCAGAGTCAACACATACGGCCACAAATACCAGGCTACATCGCCGTAGGTTGCCTGCGAAGACAACAGACGAGGCTGCCGTAGCAGGTCGCCTACGACGACAACACGCCTCTTGTGATTAAGAGGTAGACACCACTACCCCCCCGCAGCAGACCACCGCACTCGGTTGGCGCACCACCACACACGCGCTGCAAAGCTCGTTTGTTAGTAACCCATAATCGACTTCGTAAGTCGCGAGGGAAGGGATTGCTGTACCCTTCTCGCGATAAAAATACCTCAGGCATGAACCGCAGGAGGGGGTCCAACCCCCCCCCCTCCTATGTGACCCCGGTTGGGTCGTCTAGCTAGTAGAAGTGGAGGATAGGGGCCAGAGGGGCAGACGACAGAGTTCAATGATGGGAAAAAAACAAACAAAAAAAAAACACGGCTGGCCTCAAAAACGTGCCCGAAAAGATGAACTTCAACGCTCACATCGGCAGGCCAAGCAACCAAGGGTATGAATGCGAAAGATGCCACAGAGCCTGTTTGTTCCGGAAACGACGCCCGACGGGCGGGTTGGCCTATTCGAAGACTAAACGATGTCTACCGGCGTTTGTTCTGTTGTGTGTGGTGTAGCCGGTCTACGGTGGGGCGTGTTCTAACCCCCCTTCCCAAAACAGGGAACAGGGAACAGGGAACAGGGAACAGGGAACAGGGAACAGGGAACTCGGAATGATTGTCTGATCTGGCTAGCCACACAAGAAAAAAAAACTGGAAACAGTACTGAGACCCGCCAGGCTCCATGTTTTGGGTAATTGCGCCGCACCATCACATGTAGGGAACAAGTTCATTAAATTAGCCAACAGACCATGAAGAACGCGGAGTACGGACTCGTCGGTGACAACTCGGGACGTGGTGTGATGATGGCTGCACGCGACAGTACCGGTTCAAGCGGAATAGGCATTGCCACCATCATCAGGTGTCTCGCACACAAAAAAACGGCGACGGATGCTCTCTCGTATACCCGTGTTACGGGGGAAGACAAGGTGCCAAAGAGAGCGGCAAGCTGCCGTTGACCACAACCCAAAAAGCAGGCCTTCCAGAGCACTCGAGGGTGCGGATTGCACGACAAGAACCGCCTGTTCTAGCTGATACCAAGCACACGTGCTTGATGTGCCGTCGTCAAAACCTTCCTTCAAAACCTACACCACTCCTCCTTCCTCTACCCCCCACTAGTCTTTTTTGCACCCAATGGTTGCATCTGTTGCCCCTGAGTACCTGCGGGCCGCACGCGCGCGCTGAAATGTTCCATATTCCGTCCCTGAATGCTGCGGGATGTGGCATGGTTAGGACACAACGACATGGACCAAGGAAGAGGGAATTCCGAGTCCCGTGTTGCCGGTTCCTCTTTTGGTCTAGAACGCTAGTACACGCCCTTAGACCTTGAAAGAAACCGGTCACTGCAGTATATATGCCGTTGTTGTCTGCTTCTCTGGCAAATCTCTGGTGTCTCTAGTCTGCTTGTCCGTCTCTCTGTCCGTCTTTATGTGTTCATCTGTCGCGTCTCTCCCTGTCTGTTTCTCCCTCTCTCTCGTTCTCGTATCCTCCTGTGCCTGGATTTCCGTCGGTCGCCTTCTGTATGTACTACGTGTCCGACTTCTTTGTGCAGATTGCGTCTTCATGTCCGCCTGTCTTAACCCCTCCCTAACCTAACCCCTAGCACCCTCGGCACGCACCATCGCAGTGTTCTTCTCAGGGTCCGCCTGCCACAGGTCGAACATCTTGCACTTGATCATATCCGGGATGTGTCCTCGGAACCAGTTGCTAGGCAGCTGGTCGGGATCGGGCTCCCACTTGATGCGGCACAGATCCTGCCGAAGCGGATGGTGATGCAAACAGCAAAACACGAAAACGCGTGTGTGCGTGTAACCGTCAAAACCTCCGGCGGTTGGCTTGTGATTGAACCGTTGGCAGGAATGTAATGTAGAGGTATCTGGTTGGGCGGGCGGGGGGTGGGAGTCAATGCAGCGGATGTGTTGTCGGAACGAGCACCACGTGTCTTGGTCGACATGGTCCGTGTTGCGGCGTGCAGGGTCGACAGGTAAGTTGTGCCTGTTCATACGGAAGGCCAAACTCACAGCGGTGCTGATAAAAAGTGTGTCTCGAACCACCGCGGGAAGACGGAAGCAAATAGTATTAACCTCCCGTCTCCGCTGTGAGACCTACACACTTGCGCTTGGCCAAAGCGATCGACACTGTTGGAAGGGAGGGAGGGATCGGTAAATTCCCCCCTTCTCTCTCTCGTTCAACCAGACAGCAGCAAGGTTTGGTGCCAATCCACTCTCCTCATCACCCATTCCGTTGCTAGAAAGAACACTTGCGAAACGCCATGAACTTGCTACTCCCCAAAAGGTGCACGAATAAAGACCTCACAACACACAGCTCGCACCGATATTCAAGCCAGTCGTGTAAATAGTAGTTTCGAGCAATTGAAATCCACGTCTGGTTGTTTCCTTGTTCACTTGGTGTTGGATTACCCCCCCCCCCCCCCCCCCCCCCCCCCCCCCCCCCCCCCCCCCCCCCCCCCCCCCCCCCCCCCCC